CCCCCTAATTATTCCCTTGTCCTTTAATTTACCCCTTTACTCCATCCATGAGTCTTCGTGGATTTCAAAGTCAACTAAACTAGACTGAATCATGCTTTCTTTTTTCCCCTCTTTTTCATCATGCCATCCTCATCCTTTTTCAAATTATAAGAAAATGAATGTATATCCAACAAAGGAGAATAAGCTCAGACTCTTAGCCAGAACTCATTCAATAAAATGAAAATGGCAGAAGGTGTCGGCAGAAGTGGGATATAACCAACAGATGTAAAAGAATGGGGCAGGAACAAGGTGCCAGAAAGGAGTTGGGTACGCTGCAAGAAGGGGCTAAAATAAAAATTAGGTTTGAGCATCAGGTAACTGGGTCTGGCAGAAAAGAGCAATAAATTCAGTTGAAGTATTGGGAAGTGTCAAATCTGCAAAAATGTCAAAATAGCAGCACACCCAGAGCGTACTCTAAGCCCCGGGTCTAGGTACCCTTGCCCCTGGAGGGGGGGGGAACTGCACCCAGACCCAGGTGGTGTTACCCTTTTCCCTGCGGTGGGGGGAGGCAGACCGCCCCGACTCCGCAGCAGCAGGGAGGCCCCACACTCCAGACCGCAGTCGGACGGCCAACTCCTCCTCCTAGCCCCCTCGCTCCAGCAGGTCGCAGAGAATGGGGGTGAGAGAAGACTCCAAACCTCCCTCCACCTGCTCATTGTAGTGTTGATGCATGTGTGTTCTAAGGTGCATTTAAAACCCAGGAGGGCATGGAGCTACCTGCCAGAGAGCAGCAGGTAAGCGCATGGTCCCTCCTGCTGGCCCTCAATGTCTACGTGTATTTAACATTGAGAGGTGGGCAACGACGCCAGGGGTGGGGTGTACACCCTGATGGTACTTTGGATTCCGTGTATCGTGCCCACCCCCAAGATCCTATATGTATGTGTAATGAGAGTGTGAGTAATGTGAATGTCTAAGTTGTGGGATAAAATTGAGGCAGGGGCAGCCAGAAGGGGACGGGGGGGGTGGCCTCCTCTGCACCCTGGTGACATACCCCTACTCCAAGGTCCTGCATGTGTGGGTGGTTGTGATGGAGCGGGAAGAGGGAGGCAGCTGGAGATGGGGAGGGAACGAAGGGAGGGGCAAGTGACCCCTCCCTGGGGCCAGCTCCCCCGCTGACCCCAGTAGGCACCCCCATACTCCGCGACCCACCAGGGAAAGGGGGCCCAGGCCCATCCAGACCGGGGCCCAGCGCAGCAGCGCCTCCCGGCCCCACAGAGCCCAGGACAGTCCACCCAACCCCACCACAGAGAAAACTGCACCCACCCCACCATCTCACACTTCTGATAATCAGTTGTCTGCTTGACATTTATTCAGCTGTGTAAAAACTATAACTTTAATCTCAGCCAAACCGATTCACTCAGGAACAAATAAAATACTGAAAAAAAGCCAAACAATAACATTTTTAAGTTATCTAAGTGAATATATATCATGTTTAACCTGAGTAGCGAAAGATGGCGGTGGGTTTGAAAACGATTTCCAGGAGTCCGGTGTTCTAACCGGGTCTAGTGAGCCTAGCCCCCGGCTAGCTATCGAGCTAGTGGGTAACAGACGTCTCCGAAAACGTCGGAGCGCTTTTGAAAATATGTGGTGTCTTGATAAACTGAGCAGATATTTGAAGTTTACACAGCTACATTCCCGCCTGAAAATATGTTAAACGTTGATTTTGTGACCCAGTAATATTAAAACTAACTAGCAGCCGCCATTGTTGGAAACTGAGCACGGCCGCGCTGGGCCACGCTATGAATTCTGGGACACCCCTTGTACATGCAGTGCTGCCATCTTCTGTTTCAGTCCGTTATTACACTCTTAAATCCTACTACTTATTCCTGCGTCTTTCGGGATCTTACAAAGCTTCAAACGACGTGTTGACTATTCATTCAGTCGTCGACGATTTTAATAGTCGACGTAATCGTGACTAGTCGACTAATCGTGGCAGCCCTAGTTGACAACAACCGATACTACTGTGAAAGCAACTGAAACTACTTCAAACTTGAAGAAGAGTTAAAGCTACACTGAAACTAACATAAGAGAAGTCTAGCTTCAAGTGATTTTGTTAAATCAATCAATCATTCAATGAAAATAACATAATGCCCCAAAACTACTTGAATCACTAAACAAATATGAATGAAGTGGAACTACCTGGAAGCTGTTGAAAAATTTAAATAAACTCCTGGTTTAATTATGTAGCTCACAACACCCTGACACTTAAAATTAGAGATTTAAAATTCAGCCCCTGCAATTCTCAGTACCCAGCAATGACCAATTAATTCGCCTAGAACAATGTGTGAAAAATTGCTAACTTCTTTGCTTTGTGTTATTCATCGGCTACCAGTAGAAACTGTGCACTCAGGCAAAAGGAGAATCTGAAAATATTACTGGCAATATTCTAAAGAATGGAGAAAGAGAAATAAAATCGTGGGTTTTTTTGTTGTTTTGTTGTGTTTTTAACCAAAATTTCCTCTCCTTTGTTATTTTTGCTTTTGGTCATGTCTATCTCCTTCTTTAACATAAATGCATTTTACCTTTTTTTCCAGTCCATCTTCACACATCTCATCTCTGTCTTCCATCAGAGCCATAAAAGCCTCTCTTATTACTCGCTTTACTCCTCGTCTCATCCATCTTCCTTGTTTCCATTTTTCTACCCTCTCCCTTCTCTTGTCACCAGCCCACGGCGCACACCTTCTCGTCACTCTTTCCGACACCCCATCCTCCTATCTTGTTCAAAGTATCACACTGCCATGGTCATTGTACGCTCAGCTTGCGTTCTTAATCTTTATTTTCTGCTGTCTGTTTACTTATCACCACCGCTCTGCCCCTCCCAAACCCAATTTCTCACCTTTCCTTTCTCCCCCCTACCCTTCTCTTTTTTGATAGTGTTTTATCCCTCCACGGGAATGGCTTTGCTGCAACGGGTTTTTGAGGTATTGACGTTTCCACTGATATGGGCTTGGTTATCTGTCAGGTCCGGGGCCGGAGTGTAATGGCTCTGTAATTGGATAAGGTATAGGATTTTTGTCAGTAGGGTACAATGCAAACTGCCTCACCCTCTATTTTATCATATGACTATCATCTCTCATTCTTCTTCCACTTCACTTAGCGCTCTTCTCCCACTCTCCTGTGCCTTTGTGGTCTTACCCTTTTCCCCTGCCCTCACTTTGTCCACACATTTCAGTTTTCACTTGGAAAAAAAACCCAAAACAACATCTGTCACTCTCCAACACTATCTTATCTGCATGTGTGTCCTTTAGACAAGTGAGTCTAGAAGAATGAAAGAACTGACATAGCCAGTTCAGAGTCTATCCACAAGCAAGCTTTGTGAGCTGTCTTGTGGACAAGTCCAGGGAAAAAGTATCTACTTCTCCACACATCTGTTTTATGCACCCCTTTGTGCTTTCTTTTTGGTATTTTACAATTCTAATAGTAGGAAAGACACACTGTAATGTTGACATTTATGCCATATTTTGTTTTGTTTTTTCTTCTTATCTCTGGCTTTTATTATAACGGCAAATGAAAATTAGGTCAGTGTCATCATTTTTTGTTCCCTTGCATCTTGCAGTTGCCTTGCTCTTTTGTTTCTGGACCATTTACCCTGAGGTTCATTTAACCTGCAAGGTCCAGGGGAGTTTGGCCTTTCCCGGGTAGACAACTGGAGGGGTGAAAAGGGGACAAGTTTTAGGGGACACATGAGAGTTTAGCTGGCAATGAAGACAGAGCAATGAGTTTTTAGGCTATCGCAAGGACGTCGACTGCCACTGAGGGGATTAGGAAACAAAACACAGCCATCTACCCCATCAGTCTTCACTATAGTCATAGGAAAGTGGCACTGAAACACTCGCCCTCGTTGTTCTCAGAGATACTCATTTTCAGATACTCATTAAAGCAATACATCACTTTTGGAAGAAGATTTTTCCACAATAGTGCACCTAGCCCCGGAGATCATAACCTTTAACCCTTTTAAGTTACGATGGCTTTCCAAGCATATTTGATGGTCTTCTAATCTATTCAAAACAGTAAAGAAGAGGTCAAACAATTACTCTGTACTTTTGAGCAAGTAATTTCCCTCAGGCCCAATGCCCACTTTGAAAATAACCGAAAAAATTACTTTGTATTTATTCTAACTGAACTGTGTACAGTGAAAATCAAAATCCATGCTCCACCAGGGGGGTAATTCCACTTTAATCTGCACTCAAGGATGCACATATCAAACAAAAGCTTAGCTGAAAATGAACGGAGACATAACCATATGTAGGTGTCAAGACGAAATGGGTTACATGACAGCACTTGCAATTTGACTTATAGGCTTATAGTCTCATTCCGTTTGTACAGGCTGTTGTTGTATTTTGGGGTGAAAAGATAGTGTTCTTCCAATTTAATTGTATTTTGTTGTTGAAAAGTGATGATTTCAAGAATGAAATGGATGAAAGTGATGCTTGAGCATTTCAAAAGTGTCTTTATGTCTCAGCTACTGGCATTAAAAACGAATCCTTCTTGAAACCTCATAAATACTAATGACCTTCCTCTTGAAGCTGAGGCATCTTCTATATTGGAGAACATATAATTCTAATAATCATAACAGGGAGCGTATTCTCCTCATTCTTGTGAAACATCTTTATTGTCAGAAGGCTCTCTCCCTGTATGCAAAGCATTTAATAAATTATTACTTCTACACTGGTGCTTGCTAGGAGCAAATTTCTGGGCTACACTCTGGTGGACACTGACCATTAATAATAGGATCGACTAACCTTGTAACGATTAATGCTTTTTGCAAAATGTCATTATTGGAGTACAGTGAGTTTCTTTACCTGTCTTGGATTCTGCTCTAACAGAAGTCTTTGCCAATAAGATACAATTGCACCTCACTTTTGTATAATTTTTTATCATACTGCTAAAATTATATAAACTATTTGGGGAAAACTGACCTTTGATGTCCTACTCATTATGAATAATTACTGACTTTGCAGGAGCCGGTGGATGGTCACCTCTAGACAGTGACCATTACCAGTGGCTACAGGTGGACCTCGGTTCAAGAAAGCAGGTGAGCGCCATAGCAACACAGGGTCGCTACAGCAGCTCTGATTGGACGACGCAGTATCGCCTTCTCTACAGTGACACAGGAAGGAACTGGAAACCTTATCATCAAGATGGCAACATTTGGGTGAGTGGACCAGTAATTTGTGTGGCTGTTATGCGTGTGTGTCAAATGCACAGGTGCAAACTATAAGACTATTAAAATGTTCACATCCTGTGGCCCACACTTGCTTCTAAAGCATCTCATCTGTTTTGGATTACTTCCCAATCACCTTAATTTACCTTAATTTCAAATATGTGAGAGTTCTAGCAGTTTAATTCAGTTCTTTTCTACACCATCGCACACTGGGACAGCTATTTAAAGTAGAGTAAATGACTTGCTCTTGAAACAAATGATGGCATTTCATTAATCCAAATATTGCTAAGTCTATTCTCAAGTCTTGATGGTATATTGCCAAATTGGGTTGGAATTTCAGTAACACCATCAAACTAGAAACTAAAAAAAGGGCAGTTTTGTTTATAAATATTTTTTTTTATTGTGGAGTACCCCAGGACTCTGTCTTAGAGACTATTTTATTGTCTTTTTTGCTAGTATTGTTTTTAATTATGTTGTTTTCATCCTTATACAGATAACATTTAGCTGTGCACTTGAATAGGGCTTACTACTAAAATCTCTGAAACAATTGATTATCTGAAACTAAACTTACTGCTGATAAATAATGGAACTGAATTTTTTGGTCATTTACGACAAAATTCACACTCCTTCTTAAGATTCCTTAAGAAATAATTTTATATTAATTCAATTCAATTATATTAATTATATTCAATTTAAAGGAAAGCCCTGCAAATACATTTAAGAGCATTCACAGAACAATGCTGGCAAATGTTTAGGTAGATTTTTGAGGCTGGAGTTAGCTGTAATGCAATTTGACATGTACATATGTCAACGTGGTTACTAAACTATCAGAAGAAATGCTGATTTTGACATTCTCTTCTATTCTAAATTGGATAAATTTGGTTTATCTAAAATAAACTTACAAAGATTTACACTGATGCTTTTACAAGCTTTCTCTTTAAAATGTTTTTTTTAAATTTAAATCAGCTGTCAAGCTCTGTTCCTAACTTAGCTTTCACTAAATGTCTTGTTAACCTTGTAATGCCAAGTGTATCATATTTGATATTGTTGTTTTAAAGACCTCTGTATCGTCAGTGTGACTAGCGTCATATATACAGTCAGATACATGCAGTGCTACTGTGAGCAATAAAATGCTCAAAAATGCCAGATTAAAACTCATATATACACATTTATTTACATTTATTTGTATTTATTTTAATTTGTCAGAAGGTTCAATAAACACTCCATAATTAAAAAATAAAATTATACATACAGCAAGCTTCAATGTTCCTTACTTAAGTGCAAAATCCTCTTCTTTACCTACGTGCATAGAAAAAGCAGAAAACCTTGTTTAGGATGAAAAATCTTAAGTATCACTTCAAAGCACAAGGAAATTTTATTCCCTCAGTTTAAACCAAATGTAATATGACTGTGGCTCATCTAATTGAAGATTTACTGGGTCTTAGAGGAAAGATATGACATAAGAACATCTTTCCAAAATGAGCCGTTTGCATTCAATGTTTCCCTAACAGTATGGATGTGGTTTATTTTTCTTTGGCTTTATTTTCTGTGTCTCTTGTGCCAAAACAACACATTTCCATCAATGAATTGTTAGCAAGGACTTGAGTGGGGCACCTGACAGTTTGTGATCAGCTAATAGGTTAATGGCCTTCACTGTTCACTGTTGCTGCTTTGCGAAAGGCTACAGGTGATAACAGATGGGAGACAAAAGGACAGGCCTGTCGTGAATAATGCTGATACACCAAACTAGACAGCAGAAATCTAAAACCTTGAAATGCAGGGGAGGAGACTTTTTTATGTTAATCTTAATAGTAGAGTTGGAAAGGATATGTATTTGCTTTGCTTGTTTTGTCTTTTCCCCAATGAATCTGTAAAAGCTTGTCATGTAAATTACTGCTACTGTGCGATGTAGTGCCTTAAATAATAAGCTTTATCACAGCAGCTTTTACATGTTAACTTTAAATAATGTTTGAGGCATTTGAAATGATCAGATCTTTTGTTTTTGCTTTTGAAAACACTGCAGATGTTTTTTTTTTTTAAACAAAATACACAAAACCATCAGGAATGCTTTGAAGGATTTTTTACTTTTTATTTGAGATTAAAGGATATTAAAGGGAGTGATTAAATGAGTTTGCATTGCTGTTACCTTCCTATCAGCTCAAAGTTGTCTGGCAGTAGAACAGCCTTACTAATAAAGTAGTTGCTGAATGTATGTAGCGTGACTTTGCTGGAGTATACAGCAGTCGGTCCTATGTTCTCAGATTGTATATACTTCCTGTGTCTGTTTCCTGATGCATACAGTAAAGTTTCACAAATATAATTGTGCTTTTCTGCATTTCGGGAATTTTGTGAAGTTTCAAACAAAATATTTCACATTTTAATTTTGCAAAACTCCTTCCAAAGTCAGTAAGATTATGATGCTTTTAAAGTGTGGTGAAAGGTTCTTATTCATTCATCACAGGGTTGAAGTAAATGTGTAATGAAAAATGGCTTAAATGTTTTGTGAACTGTATTAAGAGTGGTGAGAATGACTTTTCTGCTGTGAGAATAATGCCAGATCAATTCAGAAAAACTTAATACACAGATGACAAAATTTCATAGTGAGATTTCTGTTCTGCAAACACATTTTTTATCACCAATTTAAACACCACAACTCTGTCACAGAACCGGACATTAAATATCAAATTCAACTACTATGTTTAAAATGTGTGCAGTGTGCTGCGGCATTCATGTTTGAACCACTGTTAACTTGCACGGTTACATTTCTGTCTTCTCTATCAGAATCCTTTTGAATGGCTGAACATGTAAACTCAAACCGCAGACATACAAGTGTTCATTATTTTTAGACGAAAGATGCTTTCTTCAGTTTTGGATTGATTATATGACATAAAGACACAATAAAATATGGCAGTGACAGCAATACTGTCCTGACATCTATATAAGATAGTGAGGGCATTTTAATTAAAATCTACTTGATTTCATTACACACACACACACACACACACACACACACACACACACACACGAATGCACTAAAAATGTTCTCAGTGCATTGCAGTGCTGTAACGCAGGACCTGACCCAGCTTCAGGTGGGAGTAAGAACTATTCATCTGTGACTATTTAAAGCCATAACTGGTTTAGATGATAACAATTTCCATTAAGAGTGTTAGTTTTCAGGCAATTTTATTTTATTTATTTTATTTTAAATATTTTTTAATTACATATGTAAATACAGTCATGTATGCAAAAAAAAAATTTGTTCATATATAGAAACATTCATTACCGATGTCATTTCCTCATTTTCTCCTATTTAATTATTAGATATTCAAAAGTTTTATTGCTGTACATGAAGATGTACATTTACTTCCCTACTTCTGGTCTTACAGGTATCTAGAGTTCAGTAAATGCACTCTCACCAACTTATCTTGTTGAGTTTGGTACCAATTCTTTGCACACACTGAAACACTGTAGAGTCTCATCATGAAGTCAACCATCTACTGTATAAGCCATGACTCACACAGATTCTTCCTGACAGACCTAATTCAGAACCGAGTACTTTTTCACTGAGTGTGCACCCTTCCTCCCGAAATAAAGCCTGGGCTTCCAATCTTTCTTCTATCTCTGATGATGGGACAACATAACAAACAACCTTTTCAATCAAACAAAAGGTGGCTAAAAGGAGATCCAATGAATTTTGTTAGTTAATCTTGGTTGTGCTAAAAACCCCTAGTTTTCACTCTGTGAGTCTGCGCCCATGTAGAGGTGTGGTTTGCCAACAGACAAGGCAGGTAACCAGGCCAGTGGGGGAGCCCCTGCACCCTGACAAACGTTACACTACTGTAGTGGCGATGTGCAACGTTTGCATTAACAGTATGCGAGGCATGACCTCTCTAAAGTACTCCACCTGACTTCACTCATTAGTTTGGAAATGGCATGAATGACTCTAAACAATGAGAGACAATGAATGAGGACAGAACAGAATTAAATACTCAATGAAACAATAAAGAGGAGTTCTCCTTCTGGGAGTGAAAAAAGGAAGGAAGAAAATAAGAAAAAGGCAATATAGTTGTGGTAAACATAATTAATAATGATTAATCAAAGGCCAAATAAGTACACTCTATTGCTGTAAGTATTTGCTCATCTGCCTTCACATAAAAACTTAAATGACTTCTCATTCTTAATCTGAACCGTTAACCGTTAACAGCAACTATAACAACTACAACTCTTCTGAGAAGACAGGTTTCTACAGGGTTTCAGATCATGTATGGGAATTTTTGATGATACAGATGTGCATTTGTGAAGTCAGGCACTGATGTTGGATGGGAAGGCCTGGCTCGAAGGCTCTGTTCTAATTCATCCTGAAGATGTTCGGGTTGTGGTGAGGACTCTGCGCAGGCCAGTCAAGTTCTTCCACACCAAACTCTCATTTATTTATGGACCTTGCTTTAAGCACTGGTAATGTTTGTCATGTTTGAACAGGACAGTGCCATCCAAAACGGTTCCCACAAAGTTTGGAATGTCTTTGAACCAGCAAACCCAGACTCGTCCATCGGATTGGCACACAGAGAAGCGCAATTCATCACTTTAGAGAACACGTCTTCACCGCTCTGGAGAACCGTGGTCTGGTGCTTCACAATTCTGCATCCAATGCTTTACATTGAGTTTGTTAATGTAAGGCTTGGAAGCAGGTACTCATCCATGGAAACCCTCACCATCCACTGACCCTGCAGTGAGATTTTACGTAGCGTATCCCCTTAGTTGCCATCATTGGCCGATTGTGGCTCAAGAGTTGGCAGTTCCTCTTGTATTCGGAAGGTTGCCGGTTTGAGCCCCGGCTCCGGCAGTCTCGGTGGTTGTGTCCTTGGGCAAGACACTTCACCCGTTGCCTATTGGTGGTGGTCAGAGGGCCCGGTGGCGCCAGTGTCCGGCAGCCCCCCCTTTGTCAGTGCGCCCCAGGGCAGCTGTGGCTACAATGTAGCTTTCCATCACCA